GGGAAAGAGAGCAAAAAGTTAAGTTGTGTAAGCAAATATTAAGCTGGTGCTTAATAAGTGATTTCTAACGTGCTGTTTCAGATGCAAGCTGCTTTGTAATCGTGGCTACAGCATTTAAAACAGGGCTTGTATTTAAGAGAAGAAATGGGCTTGGTTGTGGGGCAGGGGAGCTGTGTCATTGCTCTGCTGGCTGGAGTCTGGGTGTCGTGTGTCCAGGGAAAACAGACCTCTCACGCTGTGTTGTCCAGTGCAGTGATTTTTACCTTGTTTTCAATAAAATTCGCTTGTAATTAACGTGGTAACTACTGTGTGTCTTACGGACAGCCTTCAAAGAAATCTATGAGGTTGTTTGGGGTGACCTAACTGTGGCCTTCCAGGACTTGAAGGGAGCTAACAAGAGCCTGCAGTGCCAGGACAAGGGGGAATGGCTTCACACTGACAGAGGGCAGGTTCAGATTGGATTCTGGGGAAAAATCTTCCCTGTCAGGGAGGTGAGGCCCTGGCACAGGGTGCCCATAGAAGCTGTGGCTGCCCCTGGATCCCTGGAACTATTCAAGTCCAGGCTGGAAGGGCCTTGGAGCACCCTGGGATAGTGGAAGTTGTCTCTGCCCATGCGTGGAACGAGATGATTTTTCAGGTCCTTTCCAACCCAAAGCATCCTGTGGTTCCATGATTACTGTGTAACTTAATCACTAGGAAGTGAATCATTCTCACTGAAAACTGGGATTAATACAGGGCCTGCAGTTTGCAGACATTTACCTGCTTATTGAACAGTTCATCTCCGCAGGGCTGTGCTCCCAAAATGCCTTTACAGGCTAACACAGGCAGATCCCACACAGCTGGGTCTGTGGCTGCCCTCATGTTGGTGCATTCAAACACTCAGAAACTGGTAAAAAAGCGTCTCTTCTCATGATTTCTGGAAAAACACAAATCCACTTTTAGTTTATTCAGGTTTAGTTCCTTCATGGCAGGACTTGTGTCACAGTCATTACACAGCACCAACACACTTTTAGTGTTACCTGAAGCCCAGTGCCGGTGCCGGTGATGTTTTGCTGCCTGGTGTATTTGTCTCCTGAGAGCTCTCCCAAATAGCAGTCATGGCATGTCCAAACTGAAAGTTCTCAGTGATTCCATTTTTAGGAATAGTATAGCTATGTTTTAAAATATTTTTGTAACAAAGGTGGGAAAATAAAGTTTATGATTCATCCGATTCATCTCTCAGTCTATCCTTGTAGTTAATGGTAGGCCTAGTAAGGCATTTCTTAGAATAAATGTAAGTTTTGAAAAGTCTTTCTCCTCCGTTACCAATTTTTATAGGCAGAAGCGTCATTATCTCAAAGACCACAGTCACATTTAGGTGAAGCAACCATCAGAAGCAGAAGGCCAAAGGGCGGACTCGGGAGCTGTGGAGGCACTGTGTGTGTGGGTTTTGCACCTGAGCATTCACAGGGGTGCGGATCCCCTCACAGCGGCGCCCGGACCCCGCCGTCCCCTCACGCCCGTTCCCGCCGCCGCGGGGGGTCCTCGGCTCGGGCTGCCCTCCGCGCGCCTGTCGGGCCGCGCGCGCGGGCACTGCCTCGGCCGCCTGCAGGCGGCGGCGCGCGAGGACCCCTCGGTGGCGCCATTTTGGAGTGGCGGGCGGCGGCGGCGGCGGCGGCGGCACCTCCGTGCCCGGTGCCTCGCTCGGGGTCACTCCCGGTTCCCCC